ACTCAGTAAGTTAAACTCTCCTATCCTGGTATAAGGTATGAGGTATGAATGCAACTTTTTTCCACCCAGATTGCTATTCAATAGAGATGCTGTTAAGTATAGTTCACATTTTGCTTATTGATATAAGACCCCATCTTTATTACTAAATTCTTATTTTGGGGGCAGGGAATCTCTTTCTAGATTGTATATGCTTTTACGTGGGTCTCTGTCTGTTCATGTACCAGTACCATACTGTATTAATTATTAATTCTTGATAGTATGTTTTATGACCTGGTAGTTACTCTTGATTGCTCTTCTTTTTCAGAGTTTTCCTACCTATTCCTTTTTGTTTATTTTTCCATATGGACTTTGGAAAGATGAAATTTAAAAATTAATTTAGTGAGAATTTACATGTTAATGAAATAGAATTTTCTTATCCAAAAGCATGGTATGACTTTCCATTTGTTCGAGTCTGTGTTTGTGCCCTTCAATGGTGTGTGAAAGTTTTCTGCGTATAAGTCTTGCATATTCCTTGTAATGTTCACTCTTAGAAATGTTCTTTTTGGACTTATTTTTGTTTGGTTCCATTCTTCTATTATCTTCTGTATATTTAGTCTCCATGTATCTGAAATCTGTTTTATTCCAAGTATATTAATTGGTTTTCCTGCTGCGTAACTTAATTCTCTTACTGCGTGTCACAGTTTCTTAGTCAACTGCCTTGCCTTGTGAGGAATACAGCCATAATGTTTGGAAATTGTGATAGTTTTACCTCTTCCTATTCATTTTTAGACTCCTAATTTGTTCCTTCTATCTGACTGAGTTAATGATGCCCCAGTACAGCGACAGTCATGTCGGTTAGCGACCTTGCTTTGTCGCTGGCATTTTAGGGGAATGCTGTGGGTGCTCATCCGTTTGGCATGATACTTGTTTTGGAGCTGGCATGTGTACATGTGTGTATATGTAACTTTTGTGTTTCATACATAATCTAAAATACAAAATCAATGAGTCAAATATATATGCACTATTTTCTTGATGTTAGAGGGCTGAATATTTGTTGTATTAACCGTGTGTTGCTTTTCTTCCTTTTCAGTGGTCTGACAAACCCTGTGTGCCTCATTTACTTCAGAGGGACAGTTACTATGTTTATACCCAGCAAGAGCTTAAAGAGAAGCTGTATCAAGAAATCATATCATATTTTGACAAAGGCAAAGTGAGTATTGGATTGTTTTTGTACGAGGGGAAAGAGGAAAATGACCGCAGTATCGCAGTACGATTCTGATGCTCACCATCTGGAGTTAGCACCGACTACCCAGGTTCAGGGCACCGTCTCCAACGAGACTGCCCCCACTTCAGATGCCATCTGCAAGTTTGGGGTTCCCCAGTCCATTCATAGTTCTTGGCAACTGGCTCTACATCTGGGGGGCTTCCACTGTCCCCTCAGGTTTCATAGTCTGCTAGAACAACCAACAGAACACAGTGAAGTGCTGTATTTAACGATTCCAGTTTCATCAGGAAGGATGTAAACTGAGGCCACCCAAATGAGAGGACCCATAGGGAACAGTCTGGGAGAGTCCCAAGCACGAGGTTTCTGTGTCTTCCCCCTGTGAACTTGCGACACCTGCCCAGCAAATCAGTGTGTTCCTCAATCAGGAAGCTCACCCAAGCCATGGGTGTACAGAGTTTTTATTGGGGTTTCTTTTTTTTTTTTTTTTTTGGTAGATATGGGGTCTCACCAGTTGCCCAGCCTGGTTTAGAACCTAGAACTCCTGGGCTCCAGTGTTCCTCCTGCCTTGGCCTCCCAAGGTGCTGAGATTACAGGCGTGAGCCGCTGTGGGGTTTCATTATACAGGCAGGATTGAATGAATCATTAACTACATGATGAACTTGACCTTTAGCCTCCTTTTTTTGCCTGGAGGTCAGGCTGATATCGGGTGGCTCACGGTCCTCACCTTCTAGTCACATGGTTAGTACTTCTGGCATGGCAGACCCCATCCTGAGACTAGGAGACCGCCCTGAGTCACCTCATTAGCATAGATTTGAGTGTGATCCTGGGGTGGGAACACCAGGAACGACAAAGACACTTTTATTACTTGAGAAATTCTAAGGGTTTAGGAGCTCCCTCGCTGGAACTCAGGACCAAGACCAGGTACATGATTTAATATACAACAGTAACTCACAGCTACTCTTTATTCTTTCCTTGTGCATGCTTGAATTGTGAGATTTCAGAGGGGGACAGATTTTGCAAACAGTGATTTTAAATGATTTAATTTTGAAGTGTTTCACAATGGCTTGTGGGCTCTGCACACATTCCTTCAGCAGCCAGAAACGATGGAACGTAGCACCTTGTGAACAGGAATGAAGCAGGAGGCGACCGAATGCTGCGAGTTGAATAGTATCCGTCTAAGAGACAGCTCATGAGATACCAAAGGGATTAGAAGGCTCAATCTGGGCTGCTAGCCTCAGACACTGAGGACATGCGTTAACCTGTAACTTACATCTTTATACATGCTCGGAGGCATTTCCTAAAACTCATCCACTAAGTAGGGAAATCAGTGCCCTGCATGGAAACACAGTTTGCCAAATTCCACACAACAGTACTGTTAGCCTTTTTCCATCTCCACAAACAACATAACTACACCCACACACTCCCGTACACACACCCATACACACATACAAACACAAACATACCCCTACACACACACACACACAAACACATTTCAGAACCAAAGTACCATGGAAACTTCCTTTCCCTTTTCAACAAGACTTGCATGCTCTCCAAACCTAGGCTGGCACTGCCTCCTCTCTACTTTCAAGTGCTGTGGGTGCTTTGCCTGTTAAACGCGTTATTGCTTTTTTGGGGGACACGTGGTACTTATTCTTAATGTCCTTGCAAACAGAACTACAGTAGATGCCCCTGGCAAAGCTGCCAATACACATTATCTATGATGTCAGGAAATGAAGGTTTCATTGATGCAAAGGATAAAGCGAGTGAGGAATATCTACCGAGACTCAATGCCCCGGACCACCTGCTCATTCCCAGTGACTCGCCAGTGGCTTTTGCCACCGGATCAATGACTGCCTTGTTCTTCACTTTTAACCCTACTTTCCTTTTTCTGAAGATGTGGGAGAAAGCCATCAAACTGAGCAAAGAGTTGGCCGAGACTTACGAAAGCAAAGTATTTGACTACGAGGGCCTTGGCAACCTCCTGGTGAGTCTGGGTCAAAATATGTTAGGCCTCTGACAGGGATGCTAAAATTAGTGCTCATGAAAATGTTTCTGTAAGTTGAAAGTCAGGATGAATGGTGTTTTTTTACAATGGAAAAGTCAACTTTGCTTGAAATGAGAATGAAAAAAGATGTAGTCCAAAGGTTCTCATCAATATTTCTACAAAGTATCCTTCAGAGAAGGTTCAGGACATCTCTGGAAGTGGAATGGGGGTTGCCTCGACAGTGTGGTGGAATATCAGTTTCAGATAATAGTGACTCGGCTTCCACATCCCTCCAGATCTCTGTCTGCAGCTCTCTCATTCTTCCTGAAGCCATTTTTCTTTATGTGG